TTCTCTCTCTCTCTCTCTCTCTCTCTCTCTCTCTCTCTCTCTCTCTCTCTCTCTCTCTCGTATTTTTCTGCATTCTTCAATTCCGTGTATACGTGACTACACGCGATACTAAGCTAGGAAATGAGTCCGCGAAAATGTTAAGTCGTAAGGTTAATGAATTCTGATTCGTGGTTATACAAGTCGTCTTGGACTCGGTTGCATTTCGAGGTCTTATCGTCGGCTGGAAATCAGTCCGCCCGGCAGATGTTCGTTAAAACCTCGACCTTTCACGCCGTCTCTCGTCGTGCATTCGATACGTCTCCCGCGACTCTCTCGTTCTCTCGCAGAAGTGCCAGCATTTAAGACGCTAAGTGCGAGCATCTTATTTCAGCGCGAAAATTCCATCGTTTCCGTCTTCCTCGCACGTTACGGCGAACACGAGCTGCCAGATCTCAAATTGTGCTCCTGGGATTCGGATTATGTTCTTGAATTTCGGAGTATCACGTTCGAAGATGCCTGGCGCGAATCATCGGTAAGAGATCATAGTAATACTTGAATTCATACGAACGGAAAATGCCAGGAGATAGAGAGGATTCGTATGGCGTCTTGAATATCGCAATTCATCGTCCTTCTCACATGATCCTCTCTAACCTGTAAATATCTTTCTAAAGTAAATTTACTCTCAATATCTTTTTCTACGTACTGAATATATATATAAAAAAAAATCATTTCATGCGTACGAAAGAAGCAAAGAAGATTATACTTATATATAACTGCATAATCATTAAAATTTAATAGTAAGCATTAAACGTTCGATTAATTTTTTCTCTAGTACAGCATACCGCTGTGTTACATCAATCTGTGGTCGATCGATTTCAATCCGTCTCTCCCTACCTTAGAATATATTCTCCATTTTCTTTTTAGCTTCCGAGCTCTTTTATTATGCGAGCTAACGCTCGGTGTGAGATGGAATCCCATGCCGGCAGTTTCGCGAAAGTTAACAAGTTTTCAGCCGATTAGACTTTTAATCGTTATTACCTACTTTGCTGAGTGCTACGTTTATCGCCAATTAAAATCGCGATGCAGACATCGTTTTTCCCAATTGCTCTCTCCTCGCGTTTCCTCGAATCGCTTACTAAAAGAAAAAGCAGCGTTTCAATCGTTTTGTGTAAGTTGGTCCATTATCTAATGGCACGCCAAACTCTTACATAGACACTATTCGATAAGAATATTATTTTCTTATTCCCATAAGTTCGTATTGTTTCGCAAAACTTGAATGCGAACATTTAACAGCACTACTCTTGTCAATAAAATTTTTAGTTAATAAAGTCGACCGTACTTTCGAGTATGAAAAGTACAAAATAATTGAAGTATAAATAATTTTTAGTATGGTAGTAAAAGAGCAAGTAGTTAACTTTTAATTAAAAAGAGTTTTTGTCAATAATTGTAGGTATTTATTGATTATTTTGAATAAATATTTTGATTATTTTGAAATAATAAGAAGACAGATTACAGATTAGATAAATTATTTATATTTATTCACATCTTTAGAATATATCGAAGTTAATGTTACGATGCCACTGATTTCACGTTTAATGATTGCTTGAGGAAAATTATTTGCTGAATACGCAAAGTACAAGTATGTATTATATTTTTTCTTCTCTGGAGTTTACGAGGAGAAGGGGAGGGGGGGCACAGAGGAAATGAAATTCCTCTTTATTCGCTCTTGAGATATACAATCATGTTTCCTCCAGGCGCGATAATGTAAAAAAAATTTACTGCATATATTTCTCTTCGATTTCTGCATAAAAATTCAAATGACGAAGCAACGAATTTATTAAGAATTATATATCACATTTTTAAATTCATTTCATAACTCTTGTTATCGAACATATTTTAGATCTTAAGATTTTTTCTTTCTTCGCTTTGAGAAGACATCAGCAAAACTTCTTCATTAATTAAATTAAATTAATTGTAGTAGCAGAATAAATTCAGTATAATCGTTATTACAACGAATTACAACGAGGAGATTCAAGAGGCTTGATATTAAAAATGCCATACTGTGCGGGTAACGCGAGCGAACTTACGCGCGAAAATTATCGCCGGTGCATAAGAATCTGACAAAGAACTTCCCAAGTTCATTCGTCATTTCTAATGTTTTTTTTTTCATGGTCGTCCACCCGATGTGACATAGTACTTGGCAATCGGTAAAAAGTGGGAATGACACGTAGAGCCAGGATGAAATTCTGCTTCCGATAGATTCCAAACGGTACGGCAGACCGGTCCGCGATCGAGCCGTGTACATAATCCATACCGGCGTCTGACGGCTTTGTCAGTAGACAACTCCCTTGTCCTTCTGTTTGTCTTGTCTCTTTTGAGCTGGCATTCCACGGCGCCTGGCACTCTGTGAGCATCTATCGGAAAGCGAAAGGCGCGCGCGAGACACGGTATGTGTCGACGAAGCGCCACAATATCGTGCTTCATCGCAGATGAGTTCTCATCTTTTCCGTTTGCTGAGCTTTCTCGCACAAGCGATTCAATTTTCTCCGTCAGTTTTGCTTCGAGTCGCGGAGCGATGTTCTTTAATAAAATTGTAGCTCGTGAATGTAACTCTGGTAAAATTCGCAATTTTAATAGAAAAGAATATCAGAGATGTTGCGCGTTTCGTATTACACGACGGTAACTGATATTAACGTTACGTTTCTCGTTTTGTTACAGGGCAAATGTTTATTTGTGAAATTAGCAACGCTTATATTTCGGCGTTTTCCG